GAATATGCGAGAAAATATAGATGAGGCGAGACAAGAATCTGTGACAATCAGGCATTTTTCGTCATCATCTTCCAGAGGTGCGCAGAGATGAAAACAATGTTTTACCACATACCAGAAGGGACGACCTTCACGATGGCTGCGCCCCTGTGGAAAAGGGGTATGCAGCATTGCAGTCCAGTGGAGCCAAGGGAGAAGTGTACAATTGGCACGTTTTTCACTGAAACAGTCCAGCGACATTTGTGTTTTTAGAACAAAAAAATACTATAATGCAACGCGCGCAGCCACGTGTGTCCCACGTAGCTGCGCGCGTTGCGACTTACCCGCTAACTTTGGCGCGAAACTTTCCCCCCTAATTTATCAGGTCGATAGGGTCATGACATCACAGCCATGTGTGACGTCAGGTGACACGTGACGCTACCGGCTAGTCCACGCACACACGCTTGCACGGCTTGGCAACGAGCACGCGTTTATATGAGAAGGCTTTCCGAACGGGACTCAATAACGCTATCGCGTTCCACTAGCAGAAGTTTAAGCGTCCCCCAAGTTTTTTCTTTGCGAGAATGCTTACAAAAGCTTAAATACAGAAGCGCATGGTCGTCATAAATAATTGTTTGCTTATCAGGACAGTCAGTTTCTATGCACCAGCGAAATTTTAATGATCGCTTTCTGTGTCAGACTGACTTTTTTCTGGAAAGAGATATTGGCATGAGTGAGCTTTCGATGCAGCGCCGGAGGCTCGAAACTTTAGCGTTATGAAAAGCAGCAGATGGAGAGCAGCAAGAACGTTCCTCCAAAGTAACCTTGTACGCCCGCCGCTACGTGCAGCCTCTATGTGAAAATTTGTTGTATTCCTGTACAAAATTATCTGCTCGCTTCAAATTCCAACAGCCGCATATGCAAAGCCCAGGCTTGCAGCTCAAACTGGGAGGAGAAAATAATAAGAAAGAGTAACTAAAGAGGGACGCCGAAAGATCATATATTTAGACACTGCGAGTATATAGAGCCTTCCACTCTCACAAAATCGTGACGCTACTGTGGGCGATAAAAACAGTTCAGCATATTACTTTGGCAAGCAAGGGAAGCACAAAACAAACAAACTTCGGGAACGCTTAAAATTTGCCTTAAAGAGGGGAACGCTATCCGCGACTCCAACTAACTATAGGTGGCGCCACTCATTTTCCAAGATGGCGGGTTTAGTGAGGGTCAGAGATGCGTGCCGTTGTTGAGCCCGTCTAGTGTGCTGGCTTCACTGAGCGACATAAATTATTTCTGGTAATACAAGCAAGCTAATGTTTTATGAGCGCAGGTTACCCCTTTAACCTGAAAACAAGAACGGTGTTTAGCGTATTTTTTACGGGAGGATGCGCGTTTTAATTCTGGAGCGAAACCGAAACTTACCTCTATTTTGGATTTAATTTTTTGATATAGGCCTTAATTTCGAATTATTTCACGACTCAAGATGTGTCTCACATCGTAATTATTTACTTAGAAAAGTTGTTCGCGGAAACTTTATTTTGTGACATATTGTTCGATCCAGGGTGATATTTGTAGTTGCTGAAAAAATCAGTGCTGATATCTGTGCGTTCTCGCAGCCTTTCTCTCGCTGAGATAATTGTCATGGGAAATAATGACAATTATTCCAGCACAAGAATAAGAAAATAATTCTAATTTTTATAATATGTCCACGAAACGTATAAACTAATAAACGCTGCTGAAGTGTGTGTGTGTGTGTTTATAGCACAGCGTGACGTGTAGGACTTCATATTACATCCATTGTTTGACTGTTTGTCTATCTTGATAACTATGTCAGAGTTTTTCATATGCTAAAAAGAAAACAGAATTATACCTTTCTGGAAAGACTATTATTGTTAAATAGCGTATTCTCGCGATCTTGGCGTTAATTGGAGGCATACTTTGCCGCGATTTGTATTAATAATAATAATATTAAAAGTCACATATTTGAATAAGTAATTCTTCAAGTTCTAATATAATTTGTTGCTTATGATCTAATTTTAAACGCGCGAAGAAATATGACAATAAAAACTGTGCTAATTATCATCACTGGTTTCAGTTGCTGCATTTTAATTACCAATAAAAAATAGTCTAAAATCAATGAAAACATTTTAGCGAATGTGAGAAATCCATGTAAAATTACATTAATTGTGAATAAAGTATATTGTGCTCAAAGTCGCGACTTTTGACAACCGGCGAAACGCCCAAAGTCGCCGCCAATAACCTTCCAAACCAAATGCCCCCAAAAAATTAAAAAATGAAAAAAAAAGCATTTTTTTAATTATTAGTTTTTTCATAACATTTATTTACTTTTGTATTTGCTCGCCGTTGTTTTGCCAATCTCAACCTTTCCAGTTCGAAGGAACGCCTACCTGCTTGCACGTCTGGTCACTGCAGCACGTTTCGTTGGCGTTGGAAGCCGGTGAAACAGTTGTGAGCTTTAATATTGCGTATACGAGCGAACTCAAGCCCTCTGTGTTTGCGTTAGCTTTACGTGTTCTACACTGCGCGTGCGCGGAGCCCGAAACTGCGGTCTTGGATGGCGCATGGCGATGGGGCGCACGCACAACGTGGGGCACGGAACTCTAACGCAAACGCATACCGCTTGCGTTTGCTTCTATGCGCAATACTAAAACTCTCCAGTAAGGTACAATCCCATACCGGCTGCAGCACTACGTTGGGACAGTGAAGAGTCTTGTTTACATTCGGAAACGACATTTCGCGAGCCATGATCGCGAGCAGTTCCGCCATGCCCGCTGAGCAGGAGAGTCGGGGGACCCTCACTAGAGCGCTTCCCGTTTCCGCCGCGGGAGGGCGAGCGTCGAGCTGGAGACGCGAATAGCGTTATCAGGTCCCGTTCGCAAAGCTTTCTCATATGGACGCTCTGCAGCAGCTGTGTATGGGCGCCACAATAACCGACCTTCACTTTTTGTTCCCTCTTATTTCGTTCGCTTCGCTTCATCATTCCCACAGTAGGACAGGTTATTGCCACTTTAGTTGCTTGCTACTGTGTCCTTCTCCTCAGCATAGGACTTTGTGGAGGGTCGTCAACGCCAGCTTCAGTGGCTCGGCATCTCGGTAAGACAAGAGAGGGTCGGCTATGGCTGCTCAATCTGGCGCGTTTTTGAAGCCTCTGCGTGCTCGTTCCCAGGCTTGGCAAGCGTGTGTGCGTGGTCTAGTTGGTAGCGTCACGTATCATGTGACGTCACATGTGGCTGTGACGTCATGACCCTATCGATCCGCTAAATTTGGCGGGAAAATGTTACGCTAAATTTAGCGGGTAAATCCCATATTACAACGCGCACAGCCACGTGTGACACACGTGGCTGCGCGCGGTGCATTTTGAGATTTTTTAGTGCCGCCGCCGCCGGATTTTCTGCGACACGAGCCCCTAAACACTATCGCGTTAAAAAGTAGCTGTGGCCAGAAGTCTTTTCAGTTGCAAGTTTATCAAAGTTACCTACACAGATTTGCTGCAGATGCTTCGCATGATGCACCAGCCAGGACGCCATGTCATCAAACGTGGTCCACAGCACACACTGTGGGTAATACAACTTGCTGTTCTTTAAGATCCACAGCTTTGAAGGTGGAAACCCTACCAATTAGGAGTATTCACTGGGTGCCATATCTGTGGGTGATGTCTGGAGCGCATGCTCTGAGCGAGCCCACATTAATAGGCTGCTAAGACCGGCTATCTTGAGGGTGCGGAATGCACGTTACAAAAGAACTGTGATAGCTCGCCATCAGCACGCGCTCAGCAGTCTAGCACACAGCTATGGCCGCCAGTGAATACTTCCTATAGACCGATCTCACCAAGCGTTCGCGGCATGCGTGACGCCGCCATAACTTTAGTTCAGAGAAGGCAAACGGCAGTGTACGAGGGGGCTCGTGCCGCCTCGTGCTATACACGTCCGGAGCTCCATCGAGGTTGTCTCACGTGAAGAAAGACTACAGTTCCCTCGATGCATTGCGGCAGTGGTGGCGTAGTCAAACCACAGTGTAGTCAAACTGACTGGTGAGCTGACAGCACGTGCTTAACAAATACATGCACATACATGCACGTCAGAAACAAATTAAAAAAAGACGACAGACGAAACTCGTCAGACGCGGTGACGCGTGACACTGAAGCCCGGCGCGCGACCGCTCTCCGCGTGTTTTGAGTCTTGAGCGAGGCCGCCCAGTTTCGCTGCCGTTCTATCATCGTGCCTACCTTGACTGTTCTCGTTAATCTTCATCGGGCAACTTCATTTCTACGGGACCATATTCACGCCTCGATACCCAATTTCTATCAACGGCACCTCTCATCTGTTCAACACCAGGAAGTACGTGAAAGAAGCCAGACCATGTTCGAAAACACCAGAACCAGAGCTCTCATCAGGAACGACTTGACCTCCGAAACGACGACGACAGACCTCGCTAGTCAGGAGGTCGGCAGTTCGCCAGCTCCGACGCCGTCCACGCAACCCACGCGGTCATTTCTCTACAGAAACTTCTGCGTGGTATGCGTATCAGCTTCCCTCGGAGCCGTGGTAACCATCACCTTCGCCGTCCTTTTTCCGCTCATAGTAATGGTTCGTGTCACAGGGGCGCCCACAAAGGCGGTTCCCACCCGAAAGCCGTTGCCCAGAGGCCTCGAACTCGACATAATCCCGCATCATTACGACATAAATATTGAGACCGATCTCCTGAAGTTTATGGGAAACGTCACCATTCACGTTACCTGCGTTCGCCCCACTAACTCTCTTAGGCTCTACGCCGCCGACCTTACACTTTTGGCCATTAGTGTAAGACCCCGAATGAGCTTCCCGACAGGTTCCGAAACTCCCAAAGTAATCCAAGCCCGCGAAAGATCATCATTCGTGACGCTTCTCCTTGACTGGAATCTTGAACCACAAACCGATTACAGGCTTTCGATTCGCTACGAGAGACACCTCCAAGTTTATGGACGGCGAGGATTATTCAGGGAAGTCTTCGATTCCTATTTCACAATGGCTTCCTTCCTGGAGCATGCCGATGTACCCATGATGATCCCGAGTCTCGATGATCTGGACGTGAAGATGACGTTCACCGTCTTACTTTCCAGACCAAACTCCAGTTTCGCCGCGCTCTCAAGCTGGGACCCTCTGAAAGATTTGCAGCAAGACGACGGCCGCGTGCTGAGTGTCTTCGAGCGCACAGCCCCTATTCCGTCGTATCAACTCGGGTTGGCTATTACCAACTTGCCCAAGACAACGGACGGCTTTACCTCGCTGCGAGCACAACCTGAAGAAGCCGAGAAGTTACATTACCTGCTCGGCTTCTGCACCGACATCATCGAGAAAGCTGCCGAGGCAACCGGTATAGCATTCCCGGTCAAGGGACTCGATCTTCTCGTCATCCGCAGCTTTCCGCGCGCGTGCCACTCAACCTGGCGCCTCCTCGTCATCAGGGCAGACGTCTTCATGAACGTGAACTCGCATTGGAACCTCGAACTAGCTTCGCTACGGATAGCTCTAGAAATATTGAGAACTTGGTTCGGAGAGCTCCGGTCGGTCGGTCCCTGGGTGGACAATAGCCTTGCTCTTCTTTATGCCATCAAGGTCCTCAAGCTTATCAAGCCGCAGTGGCTAATGGACGATGTTCTGCATGCCTATCGCTTCGCTGCACTGTCGAGCGCAGTTGGATACGCTGTCTTGTCGAACACCTCTAGCGTTCTGTTTGACCATACAGTGGATCACACCGCTGTGTCTCTTCTGTCTATGTTTCGGGCTGCCATTGGACAGGACAGCTTTCAGAAGGCTACCTTCAAATATTTGGAGGGCTACAATCTCGGCACCGCTAACGAAGCTGATTTCTGGAGTGCTTTGAAGGACGCCAGCGGCATCGAGATTCTTCCAGAGTATGCCCTCTACTGGAGGTCCCATCCTGATTATCCTTGCTTGAACGTGTCCCGCCTAGACGCTGAAACCATCCACTTGGTACAGACACCTTTCTGTGGGCCGAACTGTGTGAAGAGCAAAGCCCCTCGTCCGGTTTGGCCCATTCCGATCACGTTTACGTACGCCAGTGAGCCTAAAAAGATCGACGCCACGGCTATGGTCATCTGGATGACAACGTTGGAAATGACGCTCAAAGTTCCCCAAGCGCACTTCAACGACTGGGTTCTTATCGACGTCTACACCGAGGGTGTCTACAGAGTCGACTATCAAAACCAGAACTGGGACCACCTCATCAGGCAACTACGGAGGGACCCCACGGACATCCCGGTGCCCAACCGGGCAAAGATGTTGGACGACCTCTTCCACTTTGCCCACGCAGGATACAGATCGTACGAGAAGTTCTTGAGAGCGGTCGAGTACCTTGGAAAAGAACGAGAGGCTCTTCCCTGGGTGCACTACACGCGCTTGGTCGAAGCGCTTCCAGCAAGAACCAAGAAGACGCTTGCTTGGTCATCGATGAACCGTCGAATATGCTGGAATATTGTTGCTGAAATTGCGGCTGCCAGTGGACAGTTCTCGGACATCGCTTCGACATCCCCCAAAAGTGTTTTCGAGGTCGCTGTTCTTCGACACTGTTGCAGGTTCGGTCACGTGAAATGCCCGAATGTTTTGCCTGAACAGCCACCCGTGCATGGCTGGTAATTTGAGGACACCACGGGCCCCATTTCTCGGCCGTTCAATGTAGTAACTTTATATGTGTACGTGTATGTGTGAGAGGGTAACATATTTATGTATATGTCTTTGCGTAAGGTATGTGAATTATATTCTACATCATTGCATACTGGCGTACCTGACGTATGCGTGATCATGAACAAATCGATATACTGTGAAATAAGAAATTGCCTCTAAACAAAGTCACTCGTTTCACAATGCTTTCTACATAATCGAATGAGGCCTCGTTTGTGACAACCGTGCTTTATATAAACTAGAGTAGACAAGATAATTCAAGTTGAGTTCTACTTAACTACCGTTTATGTTTTAGTGGAGAAACTTTCGGAATGATCACTTTTAATACTATTTATCTGATGGCCCACGACCCCGCGAAGTGTATCTTCTCACTAAATGAAGCGAAAAGTGCTGTAACCATTTGGAAGTACTCGGTTATTAGCGCCGAGATGTTTCGGTGGCTCCCTCTTATGGTTTCCATCCATGACGTCACGACTGGGATTTGCCTCGCCGTGACGTCACCAGTTGTTATCCTGGCTACTTACCTTCAGGTGCGACGACGAGTTCGGTGGTGTGTTTAAAAAGCACAGTGGAAGCTAGGAGGCATCACAATCCGAAACTAACACCGTCCGAATTGACACTCTGACAATGCTCATATGCCCATGGTTTGGCCAATCGGGAAAAACTGACCGCAGCGACGCTTTTGGTCGCGCACATCGCTAATACTGAGACGCAGCTCACGCTACAAGCACGAGCATGTGGCCCTGAACAGTGCTTGCGCCTTGCACTGCACGAGCGCGCGTGCTTGGCAGGGACGCTGAAAGCCCGGAGCTCGCTTTTGTATCTACACTCATAAAAAAGCCCGTGCGTCTGCTTTCCCGCACAACAGTCGGAGAGCCAATCGCCGCAACTTGCGGAGGCAGCTCAGCGAATGACGATGCCGAAACATATGTTTAGAACAAAAAACACAGTCTGACTTGTGACATTAAGCAATGCAAAACGTCACGCTTGCATTGCTTGATGTCACGACTCAGACTGCGTTTTTTGGTCTAAACATATGTTTCTGCATCGTCATTCGCTGAGCTGCCTCCGCAAGTTGCGGTGATTGGCTCTCCGAGTGTTGTGCGGGAAAGTGAACGCACGGGTTTTATTCAGACCATAGCCTCCTCTATACTCACAAAGCCTGGAAGTTCCACGAAGGAGCCATAGAGTGCCCGGTCGCCAATTTGGAGCGCAAGGATCTGGTATCACAAAGCGCCAAAAAGCCATTTCTCGGAGAACCTAAAGGAGAACCTGGACGTCAACGCACAGCTTTTGCAGCGGCGAGGATCCGAACCACACTTATTCGCTCGGGGGAAGTGTGCTTCGGCGTCTCGCCCTGGCGGGGCGCCAGTCACGTGGCTCTCCTCTCATCCGTTTTCTACCGCTCCACCTTTTCCATTTCGGCGGCGGCTTGTCGTGGCGATCTGCCAGGCTTTGCCAGTATATAGGAGGCTATGCTCACACTTAAACTGAAACTGGTTCAATTTTTTTGTAATCTCCCGATCTCCATCTCGTTGGGCTCTTGCCTCCAGGAAAGGGGGGGGGGGGGGGGGGGGGGAACCTCTGGTCAAAACGTCCAACGAGACGAAATTTTCATCGAGTCAAAATGTCCAATAGGCCACGTGACACCCGTGTCAAAATGTCCATCGAGACGAAATGTCCAATCGGGTCAGAGTGTCCATCGATTCAAAATGTCCATCGAGACGAAATGTCCAATCGAGTCAAAATGCCCATCGAGTCGAAATGTCCATAGAGACGAAATGTCCAATCGGGTCAAAATGTCCATCGAGTCGAAATGTCCATCGAGACGAAATGTCCAATCGGGTCAAAATGTCCATCGAGTCGAAATGTCCATGTAGACGAATATCCAAAAGGGGTCAAAATGTCCACGTCAAAGTGCTCAATCTTGGTTGATTGACTACCCACAAACCTCGGTATAACACAAAAGGCGCTAAATTTTTTTGTTTTCTAATTTGTGGGTCAAGGTCAGTGGAGATACAATTTTGTTCAAGGATTTCAAGGTCACCGGACGATCGCCCCTCTGTCGGGGACACTGGGTCCGATCGTCCGGTGACCCCTTTTAACTCAAAAGACTCTGTTTAACACAAAAGGCGCTGAATTCTTTTGTCGGCCAACGTCAGCGGAGGCACAAATTTGTTCCAAGGATTTCGCCCCACTGTCGGGGACACTGGATCCGATCGGCCGGTGACCCCGTTTAACACGAAGGGCGCATCTCGGTACGACAAGATTCGACCTGGTTTGCGCACGGTTTGCCTTATTTTTGCGCACATCTGCGTTATTCAAGACATAAACTGTATTGTTACAATTTCTGCTTTCCTTTTTAACTGGTTTAATCACCGCACAGAGACGTCCGACATCTTCGGTGGCTGGCTTCCAACTGCCTCGCGCACACGCACGAGCACGACGAGCGCGTTCCCTTCGTCGCGTGCCGGTTGCTTCTCTTTTATGTTTTTTGTTCACCCCACACTCAGCGTCTCCGCTACACTATCCCCCTCCCGTCCTTTAAAGACCAAGCAAGTCCTACAGAAGTCCCTGATACAAGCACAGCCGGTCGCGGTGGACCACGAGGGCCCGTGACCTATCCTTGCGACGTATGCGATAGACCACACCACTGAGACGTTTGATGACGATGAAAGGTCCTTGCCAGTTACGCTGCAGTTTCGGAGACAGTCCTTTCTTGCGAATCGGGTTGTAAAGCCATACTCTCTCCCCTGGAGAGAACGGGCGTGTTGTGACATGCTCGTCGTACCGGGCTTTCATGCGATCCAAGCCGCTCGCCAAACGCTGTCGAGCAAATGCGTGCACCCGCTCGAGGTTTGTTCTCAGTTCACCTACGTAGGACGCAGGGTTTGTGGTCGGCTCTGATGCTCGTGGAAGGGCTAAATCACAGGGCATGCGAAGGTCATGACCGAAGAGCATTGTGGCAGGCGTATAGCCAGTGACCTCATGAGCAGACGTGCGATATGCATACAAAAACAAAGGCACGATGCTATCCCAGTCATCTTGCTGATCACTGACGAACATGGACAGATGTTGTAGGATCGTTCGACTCATCCTCTCGACTAAACCGTTTGACTGCGGGTGGAGAGGCGTCGTTCTTGTCTTTTTCATGTTGAACAATTCGCACACTTCTTGGAACACCCGATATTCGAAGCTCCTGCCTTGGTCCGAGTGGATGCTCAGGGGAACTCCATACCGTGTAATCCAGTTCCTCACCAGAGCGTCGGCGATCTCGGAGGCGGTCTGACTCGGTATAGGAATGACTTCCGGCCACTTCGTGAAATAGTCAACAATGAACAGCAGGAACCTGTTGCCAAGCTTAGATCGAGGAAACGGTCCAAGCACATCAATGCCGACGCATTCAAAATGTGCTCCCGTGACATGTTCTTGAAGCGGTGCTCGCTGTTTTACGTGAGGACCTTTCCGTGAGACGCAGATGTCACATAGACGGCACCATTGCTTTACGTCATTATTTGCACTGCAGCCAGTAGAAGCGCTGCCGAATCTTTTTCAGGGTGCGGTTCACGCCGAAATGTCCTCCTTCAGGGCTTGTGTGCAGCTGATGAAACGCTTGAGAGCAGAGTCTTCCTGGCAGCACCAGTTGCCAAACAACAGAGTTGCCCGCAGCGGACTCCCAGCGTCGGTAAAGAACACCGTTGCGCAGCAGCAAAGAGTCCCATTGCGCCAATTAACTCTCGAGGGCCGGAGACAGCCGAGATACTTCCTTAGGAGGGGGCCTGTTATTCTGTCTCTTCCATCTTACTAATGGGCCGATGTCCGGGTCGTCAAGTTGAGCGTTTCGGAGCTCTTCTGGCGTCCACGCTTCGTAGTCGCAGGGTAGGTTGGTTAGTGCGTTAAGCGTGTCGAAGCTGCGCTTTTCAATGCTCAAGCACTGCTTGCACTTTTCGCTACATGGCCTACGAGAGAGACCATCGGCATTGGTGTGCTTTGAGCCGCAACGATGTTGTATGTCGAAGTCGTATTCATGCAGGCGTTCCAGCCATCGGGCGACCTGACCATCAGGTGTCTTGAAGCTCAACATCCATGTCAGCGATGCGTGGTCGGTTCGAATAACAAACTTCCGGCCCAGTAGATAGTGGTGAAAATGGGTGATGGCTTTGATCATGGCCAGCAACTCCCGTCGGGTGGTGCAATAATTGCGTTCGGGCTTCGTGAAGACCTTGCTATAGTAAGCAATGACGCGTTCTTGTCCGTCCTGCTCTTGTGATAAAACTGCGCCAATTGCCGAGGCGCTGGCGTCGGTGTCAAGAATGAAGCGTCCAGTCTCCTTCGGATACGCAAGTGTTGGCGGAGACGTGAGGGCTGTTTTGAGCGTCTCAAACGCGCGCTGGCATACCGAGGACCAGACGAACTTCGCTTTTTTCCCAGTCAGAGCATACAAAGGCTTGGCGATGTGAGCGAAATCGGAGACGAATCTTCGATAGTACGATACCAGTCCAATGAAGCTCTGCACGTCCGTGGTGGATCTCGGGGTTGGCCAATCAACGAGAGCAGAGAGTTTCCGAGGGTCTGTGGAAACGCCATCCACCGAAATGATGTGGCCAAGGTATTCCACTTGCCTTGTAAACAGCGAACATTTCTTCGGTGTGAGCTTCAGGTTCGCATTTTGCAGGCGTGAAAAAACCAAGTTTAGATTCGCCAGATGGTCTGTGACTGTCTTGCCGAAGACGATGATGTCGTCAAGGTATACAAAACAAATAGTGCCTATGCGCTCGTTCAAGACAGATTCCATTAGCCTTTGAAATGTAGCTGGAGCATTGCAGAGTCCAAATGGCATTACTCTGAACTGATACGAGCCGATATCTGTGGTGAAGGCGGTCTTCTCGCGGTCTTCTGGTTGCACCGGGACCTGCCAATATCCGCTTTTGAGGTCGAGTGTCGAAAACCATGTGCACCCAGCGAGGGCATCCAAGGTGTCATTAGTCCGAGGAAGTGGAAAAGAGTCTTTCTTAGTGACGTCGTTGAGTTTTCGATAGTCTATGCAAAATCGAGTTTTACCGTCCTTCTTTGTCACTAGCGTAACTGGTGATGACCAGGGGGAACATGCTGGTTCAATCACGCCCTGTTGTAGCATTGTCTTGACCAAGTCGTCGACGTGAGACCTCTGTGTGAGAGGAATGCGCCGAGGGGGTTGTCGAATGGGAGAAGCCTGTCCTGTCACAATCCGGTGTGTCGCCACCGATGTCAGCCCTATATCTGCGTCGCCCGTGCTGAAAAGGCTTGTGAATTTTTCCAGCAGCTGGCAAAACCTCTCAGCATCGAGTTTATCGAGACAAGCAGACGCGCCTTCGTATAATGGTAATACGTGCGCAGCTAGCTTGATAGAGGATGTGCGAGGACACATATACGGGAGGGTGTCGTTTATTGGTAACCCAGTGTCGTAGAGGACCGTCACCTTGGCGGCGCCTAGGGGAAACGAGTCAGTTCCGAGATGCAGCAATCCAGCGTTGAAATCGAGCACGCACTTGTGTGCTTTGAGAAAATCGACGCCCAGGACGCACTGCTCCTCGATAGCGGCTACGACAACAGGCAGCGAAGCGTGAAGGCTACCCACGGTGAAGGGTACAGTTGTGGAGCCTAGTACGGCTACCATGTCTCCCGTTGCGGTTTGCAGAGCGATCGCTGTCAGAGCTTTGTGGAACAGCACGATTCGCTTTCATCAAAACTTCCGGTCTAATTACCGAGGTTGTAGCTCCGGTATCAACAAGTGCGCGTACCGAAACTCCGTCGACGACGCCCTGAAGGTAGATAGATGTAAGTGGTGCTGTCAGGACACGCGTTGATGTGATTATCCGCGGCGATTTTGCTGTTGGGTTCCGGCTGCTGGGGTGATACGTGGGACATTGTGCCCGCGTGTGGCCCTGCTGATGGCAGTTCCAGCAAACTGGGGCCGGAGGCATATCTGTTGCGGTTGTCGGGGCTTGCGGCTGCGTAGGAGGCCGCAGAACCGTAGATCGTGATGCTTGTCGAGCAGCTTCTATCTCCAGCGCGCCCGTGTGTGCTGCTCGGAGAGTCTTGGGGCGTGCTAGGCAAACCGCATCCTGCACCTCAACGCAGGAGATGGCGTCAATGAACGCCATGGTTGCCACAGCGTCAATTGTGTCTTGTGGGCAACCAGGAAATGCAAGATGGGCGAGGCGCTCGATGTCGTCGGCGACTTGAGAAACTGTCTCGGTTGGAAACTGACGACGGTTGCGAAGTTGGGCGTGATGAAGAAAGCGGAGGGGTCCTTCCCCGTAGCGCTCGTTCAGTGCCGCGACCAAGGCTTCGTAGGAATCGCGGGTGTCGGGTGGTAGGTAGTGTAGTACTGTCAAAGCTGGTCCGGTTAGATGGGCGGCCAAGGCTTGTGCCTTTTGAGCCGGAGACCATTGGTTAGCGTCAGCAATGAGGTTGAACCGGGATACGTAAGGCGCCCAAGGAACGGTACCGTCAAATGTCGATGGCTTGAGACGCAGGGTTGAAAGTCGGGAAGCGTTCTGAACCGGGCGGCTTGCGGTGCGCTGCTCCTTGAGTTCAGGGAATCGAGACTCCAAGCGTTGAAAACGTTCTGTCATGGAGGCAGTGAAGTCCTGAATGGATGATGTCATAGTTTGGAGAAGCAGGCTTTCTCGTCGAGCGTAGGACGCTTCGGCTTGTTGGAGCCAGCTTTTGAAGAGGGCCATGGGTTCGGGCGCTGTCGGGTCTGAAGAAGCGATATTTTCGGCGCCGGTAGTTGCGGTGTGGTCCCCTTCGGGACTGGTAGGAGGTTCCATTGCCCGGGAAAGGCGTCGGCCCGAACGGAGCTCCACTTCTAACACCAGTGTTACAATTTCTGCTTTCCTTTTTAACTGGTTTAATCACCGCACAGAGACGTTCGACAACTTCGGTGGCTGGCTTCCAACTGCCTCGCGCACACGCACGAGCACGACGAGCGCGTTCCCTTCGTCGCGTGCCGGTTGCTCCTCTTTTATGTTTTTTGTTCACCCCGCACTCAGCGTCTCCGCTACAGTATAGCACAAGATCTCGAGTCTCGCTACCTAAAGAAACAAGTTACAACAGCTTCTCGATTCGACACGTTCTTCTATACTCTGTTTCACACTTGGCGCGCTCGCGCCAGTATATAGCTTTGACAGCGTTGCATATGAAGTATGAAACGGAGTATAGGGTCTGGTGATTGGAATTTTTTTTTTAATAACCAAGGCAATTGTTTTACCAACCAGTGTCTACACTCGGAGATTATCAGTTGCCTGTGCACTGATCAAACAGAAGTAGGGTATTAATTATGTCTTGGTGATTAGTGAAATGTTGCTTGAGTTCTACGCGAATAATATGTTTTCGAATGGTTCAATATAAATTTTAATGTGATATATTATTATTATTATCTGCAGATTCAACGAAAGGTACAGCGACGACATCAGATCAGCATTCATCGGCTGCTTTCGTGTCGACATGGAGCCCGGCTTCAGGGTCCCGTCGTTTGTGACGTCACATAAGCGCTCAAGTCGACCTGTGATCCAGTATCGAAGTAAACGATGGGAGAACGCTGTGCTCGAATTTTCTTAGAAGTCAGCACACCCAAAGGATCCCAGCACAGTCTACTATAGGTGTATCGCCTGCTACCGCCTGAGTCAGCAAGTCGGATTAACTGAGAGGTTCCCAGTGGCTCACCTGACACTAAGAAACGGCGTGCTGGCCACCGATCCAGATCGGCCGTCGACATCCCACAGCTGCAACCCGTCTGGAGACTCCAATGCTTTTACCGTTCTCTCGAAACTCTTCATGTATGAAGTACGGGCAAACGTCCGCAGGAGCCGAAAAAGACCGAGAGAAGCATTTGACGAAGCCGTCTCCTCTATTCCTGAAAGGTTTGCGAGGGGAAATTCAAGCACAACTCAACACTGGCTACGGATTTTCTACCAAGCGACGATGCCTTGTCGCCGACGCACTATCGGCGCACTCCCCAAACTTTTGGCCTCATCTCTGAGTTTGAAAAAGCGGGAGCCCCCGAATGATATCCACAACTGCGAGCCCAGCTCGCGTTTGCTGATATTATTCTGGCAATAACTACAAAAATAAGCCTTGCTTTTTCGACATGCATGCCAGTGTTGCATACTATGCACTCGTTCGGCTACCGTTAAAGGTAACGTGTTCCTGCTTGTAGCCTAAAGTCTGGGTTATTTATTTATTTATTTGTTTATTTACTCTCAAGGCCGAAGCATTACATAGAGGATGGGTAAAAGATAAAACAACATCAGCAAACAAAAAAAAAAAAAAAAAAAGGCGGGGTTACGATTTATGATTATAAACGGCAGATTTGAACAGGTTGGTGTCTGGGATGGAAGAGATGGAGGCGGAGAGGCTGTTCCAGTCGCTGCATTTGATGGAAATAAAAGAACAAAAATGTAAATTGGTTCAACTGTTGGGTACGTAAACATTGAAATGATGATCGTTGCGGGCAGAGATGTACGAAGGTGGCTGGAAAAGTAAGTCACTAAGAAATGGCTTAAAATGTTTGATTTTGGGAAAAAGACAAGTTTGAAAGATTTTACGGCATAAAGCGAGAACGGACAAGTTTAAATTAAATTTCACTGCTGTGACGCTAGCAGTACAAAAGTAGCTATAAAATATTAAACCCACAGAACGATTGTGGACGGCTTCTAAATGAGCGAGTTTAAATGAGGGTCCCCAATTGATGTCGCGTATTCAATTTTCGGTATTAGCAAAGTTTTGTAAAGCAGAAGTTTCAAACTTGAGGGGGCTAAAAAAAAAGTTTCCTCGTAAGTGCCCGAGAGTACGATTTGCGTTACTTGTCACGTAGTCAACATGAGTTTGCCAAGAAAGATTTTCAGTTATGTGAACACCGAAATTTCTGTATGAAGATACTTGAATTAAGGCAGTGTT